GTAACGGAATTATCTACGATTTGTCAAAATCGGTTTTTTAATTTTTTAATTATAATCAATATAATTTCTTAAACTTTAATATTTTTCAGCAATCTTAATATTCCATAATGCCTGTATAAGCATTCTTCGTAATGTTTTTATCTTTTTTCAGTAGCGTCCCATAAAATACTTAACCATATTTAAGTATCCGTTAGCAATTTTAAGTTATCCCCACCAACTTGACTTATTCAAGTAGTTCAAATTTGTCTGCGACACCACGAAGGTCCAAATTAAATGTGATTGAAACAGTCATGATAGTTTCGCACACGATATTGATAGTGGTGAGGTTTACATAATCCAGGAAATTGATACAAAACTTAATACGGAAATAGCTTAATTAGTTGTATTGATAATTTAATTGTAAAGCATTTTTATCCAGTTAGAAATATTTTCTTTTACATTACATGGAAAATCTAGAAAATCAAGTTCTAATAAATTGCTCGTTGTTACATATAGGTGTTTAATGAAAAACTGTGCGAGAAAGAGATTTAAATTTTTCGCAGATATAAATTTTATGCCCACACCTATGATAAGATAAACAAATGAGAGATTTATTGTTAAAATTATTGTTAGAATGCAAATACACTCTTTAAGTTTTCTTATTTGTACGTGGTTCTGAAGCAGATAATTTTTCCAATATAATAGAACATTTATCTCAGTCGAAAAAGTCACCTAGAGTAGAAAGGAAAAAAACACCACAATCTTTTAAATTAAAAAAAAAATCCTCAAACAAAAAAGTTAAAATACTTTCAAAAAGTTCTTTAGTAGCAGGGCCCAAATTTTTTAATGGCTGTAAACTTCTTTTACATTTGATAAAATGATCCCAACTCTAGTATTCTCCCAGAAAAAACTGCAATTTGAATTGCAGGCAATTTAACCTGGCAAGTTTTCTGCTCCAAGACTTGAAAGTTATGTTGATAATGCTGGGATAATACAAGGAAGTTTGAGCATGAATTTCCTGCAACACTCAAAGCTGATACAGTAAATTAATCAATTTTTCGATTCGGGGTAATTTATCTTATATATAATGATAGAGTTAGCTCTGGTGCGAGATTTTTTGGAGAATTCAAAATTCAAATTTAATTTTGAGAGTTGCAAAAATGTCGATAGCAAATTTTATAAAACGAAATTCTATAGTGTGTGATACAATTCCTACAGAGTCGAGAAAACCAGAAAGAAAGAGATTGTCTCAATATAGGCATAAGTATCGAAACTCAACACAATTATCCAGTATAACAAAACACGCACTGAAAACACTCATTAAAATTGTTGAACGATTTAACCTTCCACCGGCTCAAAGGAAGGAATTGTTGCGGGAACTGCGGCAAACACTTTTAAACTGACTTCCTTAAGACAGCGTTCTCATATTTTTACATTAACCTAAACTTTGCGTACTTACTAACCGCGGAAAGAGAAATGCAATGTAAAATCAGATAAAACTTTTTTGAGTAAAGGGCTGGGGCAGACTAAAAAAAATATAACATAAGCGAACGAGATTATTTTATTTAATATTTTTAAAACTTAGTAAGTTATCTGCTAAAAAGAATATGCTAAATGAACGTTAAGCTTTTTGGCTATTTATTTTCAAAATGCTTCGATTTCATCCCATAGTGGGCTTGTCGAATCGCTTGGTATTCTATTTTTGCTAACCCAGCAGCACCTGCCTTCCCCAGGTGTGAGATGTCCGCGCAGAATAAATTGGTTAATATACTACTCCCCAGGAATCTCATTAAATCATCTGATGCCTGTCGTGCCGGATCTTCAAACCATTTGGAGTTTGACATAGTAAAAGATAGTAAAATATTCGCTCGTCTAAATTCGTTCCGTTAGTCAATTAAATTTTCGTATGCGTTCCATGTTGAAGTACATGCTAAATGCAAAAATACGGTTTTCTAATTAGAGGGTGATAGAGTTAAGTGAAGCGCGCAATGCAGTCGAATCCGGCGGACGTGATCCCGACTGGTTAAATTTTACAACACCGGGAACCGTGCACAGAATAAACAATGTCGCGAATTTATCGAGAGGTTTACTGTAGAGATATATGGTGCAATTTAACTCATTTTTCTAGTCGAGCCGTTCCAAATTGCCGTCCTGTTTGTCGCGTAATTTCTGACACGTCTCGATATTACGTGATTGGGGTAATTAACAGTTTATTGAAATGATTTAGGGCGTACGGCGACTGCAAGTTTATCTTGATATCTGAACACCATTCTAGAAATAGGAATGGAGCTGAAATGGAAGTCAGTATTGAACAACATCCTCCATCCGTAAACACGATAAAGTTATTCCATACGGTTACTTACAGTAAAAAATAAGGGAATGCAGAAAAGTAAGCAAACGTAAAAACTTGACAAAGTAATAAAAGAAGCTCCATTGCTGTTTTTTATCCATTAGGTTTTGGACACATCAATAAAAACAATAATTCCGATTGTTTGCATGTCTGTATATCTCTCTCAAATAAGAAACAATGTAATAATTAATAATAGATTATTGACTTCTTTTCTAAATAAACATCTTAAGTTATTTTTAAAAGCATGTTGAAAATTACTTCAATCCTAAGTAAATATTATGGGGCATTTAAAGTCTTACTGATTCGATTGTAAGTGAGGTTATCAATGAGAAATGAACAGGTAACAGTAGCAGTTCGTAAATCGTCACAAATACGTTTCTGTAATTAAACGCAAAAATCCAGACCCATTACAAGATCCCCAGTGAATAATATTGAGATAAAATTTATAGAAACAGGGCATGTCGGAGATATTATTTTGTTAGGTGTTAAATAGTAAAGTATAGACGCCATACCTATAAGTTAAGCTACATGAATGATAAATAAAATTTGACGCAGAATTCCAAAATAGATTTGAAAAAATGATGCTACATTTAAAAACAGGAAAAAGGTATCATCTACTTTTTGTCCCACACTGTATTTTAATTGAAATTGGATGTTAAGAACGAAATAAATAATTAGTTGCTTTATAGAGTAACATGAAAAGTCAGGAAATATAGTATTCGGTTCTAAAGTCATTTATTTGTGATATACCAAATTTAACATAACTCTGCACTCAGGTAAGGCCTGACTCGTTCTGAATCAATGTCTCGTATAATTTCTAGCCGGATCAATCAAATATTAAAAAGCGCTTTTACAATTAACAATAAAAACGCTTTTACGACCTTCGGATCGCATGTTACACTACTTCAAAATTAAGAAATCCCGGAAAAACATCATTATTTTGTTGATGTTAGAGCTTACCATTCGATTATAACTTATATTTGCATTTTTTATGCCACATAGAGGAATGCGATGTACATTCATGAAATTTCAATTCAATTTTGCATAACTATTATATTCTCCTTATACTACACAACTTTTATTTTCAAAATTGTTTTTTTTTTGTTTCCATAAAATTGCCACTTATTCATCACAAATTGGAAAACGGAGAAAGTGAATTTTTGGACAGAAAAAGATGAAAAATCAACGAACATAGTATTGCCAAGTCAACAGACCCGCGTAAACTAGTACGTGATAACTTCAGTGGAAAATTATTTATTATATTCTGAGCGTTAATTCGCAAATATTTAATTTAATGGCATACGTGCATAAAGTTTGCTGTGCGCACGGCATTACAATTAGTTTCATTATAATAAATGGAAGCAAAATACTACTCCTGACTCTAGGCAGTCATTTAGTCAAAATGCGAGACGCAAATGCGGACGAGATTATAACATTCATCTATTATATGCCTTTATTGATTATTTGTATATATTCTGAACTTGCAAAATTTCTGACTATAAAGACCTTAGTAAATAAATGTCATGCTATTCAATTAATATCGTAACGAAGCACGAATTGTGTCAACAATTATTAGCGATATTGTTAACAACCATTTTCGCTTGTATGTACGTATATTATACTGTGGATGCTCTATTAAAAGTATCTGGGGAACGGATGCATCGATTTATATGAAATCACACGGGGAAAACTTGATACTCTCTCTCGAAAATACATTGGACGTGACAACGTTGTGCTAAGTTTCAAAAGGGAAATTTACGAAGTAAAGACACCATAAGTTATAAGTTATTCAAAATTAAAAGGTATAGGAAGGCTAATAGAATGTTTTAAAGACGAAAAACAATTGCATCGCAAGAAATGAGGATCTCCATTTGATGAAGTCATTTTAGAATACTTCAAATTTTTCGATGCCCTACACTCGTTTTTAAAATAAAACTTTAAATATCCCAAAAACAGCTGGACTTAGCCTCTCTCTGAATGAAATAAATTGCAGCTTTGAACGGATGTAAAAAATGCAATTACGTGTGCCATTTAACTGGAGATAACCTAATTTAACTGGAGTGCCGAATTTGAGCATTACAAGACTTTCTGGAAACGGTTTTCTTGGGTTACATCAAACAGATATTCGGTTATGGCCTATTTTTATTTGACTTAACTATTTGAACATTTTTTAATATACAGATAACGAAACATTTATTTCATCGCTCACTAGTTTAAACGTCCAGTGTAACAAAGGCATGCCCAGACTACTGGAGTTAAAGAATTGTACCAGACCGACCGACCATATTCCTTCTTTCCTTCTAAAGTGTCGGAGTAGCTTTGTTACACTTGAGTAGGATAGTGACTCTTCTTATGTTCGACCGACCGACCATGTTCCTTCTTTCCTTTTAAAGTGTCGGAGTAGCTTTGTTACATTTGAGTAGGATAGTGACTCTTCTTATGTTCGGATATCACGAAACTTGACAATAGGTTGATGTGTTTTCAACCCCAATATTTCGAATAATTGAACACTTTTATTTCATTAGAGCTAATTAATTTGTATTCACAGCGTAGAATATCAAAATGAATAAGTAAATAAAATTGTTTATGTAGAAGCGGCATATATAGCAACAAAAACTGTTAATCTTGGATAATTGTAGAAATTAACAATATATCGTGTTTATTATTTCAGGTCAGACCATAAAATATGGAGGATATGGACGACGGCCAGTTGTTTTCAAGGATGGAAGAAGACTTTGGTTTACTTCCCAATGGCAATATTATCTTTAATACTACCGTACAAGCTGTGGCTTACTTACCTGTCAGGTGCATTTCTTCTACTATTGTCCGTATTGCATTCGGTTTTATATTTCCGAATCAGACGTAAAAGGAGACGAAAACAGTCGAGGTTTTATCAAAACGACGCGGATAGTTTGGACAGGTAAATAAGTTTAACTTTGGTTTTCTTTACTCAGAACGAAATAAAATGAAGCTGCGAAAACGTGAAGATGCAAACAATTTCTAGCAACTTCTGGCAATTATATTCAAAAGTTCCGAGTGATAAAATAATTTTAGGGAATAACTACCAATTTTCACTTCAGTAGCGGAAACCCTTTCGAACTTGTCTGGTTATTTATTCAAGTTATTAGACCCGATATAAATTGAATTTGAAAGTTCCAATAAAATAAGCAAATTGTATTGTCAATTAGGCCGTTCTACCTATATCGCATTTGCGGTTTTTGAAGGTAATAATAATAAAATAAAGTAGCGGGTATACAAATTTGGCGTTCAAAATTACTTTGGGTATTAATAAAAGAAATCGTTCTTTCAGATTACTGGTTTAATTTAAAAATTCGCAAAATAGTCTAAGATATGACGTTACACCTACAAGTGGTACCACGAGTTTACTTGCTCAAACCAGTTTATTATTGCTGGTTCCAGTCTCTATTACAAGATAATAAACCTAACTCTAAAATGACTAAGGTATAAAGATATCCCAAATAACTTACAGCCCGATATATTGATTTATAACGATCATGATCGTGTCTCAAAAAAGTTTTGGAAATGATGAAACATACCAGTAGAAAATCTAAAATGTTCTTCCAGTAGCTCGAAACCGCAAGGTAAAATTTAGAGATTTTTGGGTGTATTTCTAGAAGTCTTTAAAGAAGATTTTCCTCCCTCGTAAAGTACATAAAGAGAATGTCCATACAAACCGTCTTCGTTTTTGAAATATTGCTTATTATCGTCAGAATTGATAGGTATTTATGTTTCTGTGTTGCAATTCTTTCTTACTCTTAAGGATATTTTTCATTTTTTTCAACCTAGCATTTAGTTTAAGTTTCATTGCTAATGGTTATTTATCATTAGCATGGGACTTTTCATTTCTTTGATTTTTTTCCGAAGCTATTAATGCAGAGAAGAAAGTTTCAATTTACACCAAATGTTCGGTAAACTTTAAATAATATCCTTTTTTTATTTGCAGCAGCAGGGTTGAGGAAATAACAGATGTGCTGGACGATGGAATTCCAGAACCGATGCCTGGTAGCAGTGTTTCCCTCTCTGATACTCTCCGAATTGAACACGAGAATTTTCTCGAAATTTGATCATCATCATTTGTTACTATAAATATATGCAGGTATACTGGGATAAAATATTTCATTAATAAATTTCTATTCCAATTTCTAAATTTAGTATGGAATAGAACTGGATATACGATGATATTTTGTCTTATTTCACTACCATTTACCTTCCACAAACTTTCTGTGAACCAGTTAATTGAATTTGTATTTTTACTGATGGTACTTCATCCGAAATCCATTAAAATATGTAACTCACGCTAATCTATCCTCTGCATTTTATAATTAAAACTTTTTTGATTGAGAAATTTGTCTGCTATATTAATGCAGTGTATTTTGAAATTTTCAACGTATTATTAAGTGCACGACTTTCACAACGACCCAAGTTCAAAGACAAATAAATTGGTCGCAGAATGAGATTCTCAGCAACGGACTTATTTAATATTTGTTAAGAAAACATATATAATTTGTTGTTAATTGCGCTGTTTGTCTGAATATCTAACTCATTGCATTGTTTTAGTTCACAGACCTCCCACTAGATGGCTACGCACGCAAGAATACGACTATTTTCGCACCTGTATAAACTTTTACCGTTTTACTCTGTACTGTACTGTACGGAATACAACTCAATTATCTTGATTTGGAAATGAATAATATTTTTAGCTGTGGCGACGTTTAATGAAATAAACAATGTGTTTAAAATTGTGTTTTATTTTTTAAATCTATTAATATATCATATACAAAACATTGCATCAACTCGTAATCAACATAATTTTTAATATAAACATATTGTTCTGTAAAAGTAAATTCGAGCACTTTTTATCTTATATTGACTCTGAAATTCATCATTCTGAAAATTATGTGAGAACGTGAAAGAGCAATGGACTTACACTCTTCAATTCAATGTTCGCAAAAAAATTAATGGGAAAAATCGCAGGGCTACCCACAAAATATGTGGGGAGATTTTAAATTCTGCATCATGTTTAAAAGTGATTATAACTATTTTATTTGAATAAGATCATCATTAGGGCACTTTTTTTTATTCAAATGCATTGGCGTACTCAGATGTTTTCTATAGTGTTCCGTTCTCCCACGGTTGTTTATAAATCATACCGGCTGACGTTTCGATAATCAAGTATAATTTATAAATAACCGACGCAGTAAGAATACGAAAGTGTTGTAAATAGTAATAAAATGAAAATATTAAATAGTTTAATTAATTAATTAATTAATTGACACTTACAGTTACCAAAATTAAGTTATCACAGAGGGACTAACAAATATTTTTTAAAAGTTTTGATATCATTATTTCCGTTCAAGCACAATTATCTCAAATTTTATAAAACAAGGGATAAAAAAATTATAGAGTTTAAAATAATATTCTTCGGTAGTCACTACTTGTGTCTGCTCCTCTCAATATTGACATTTTAAATTGTATAAAAAATATATTTTTTCTATTATGAGCTTTATTTGAAGTATTAAAATTCATAAACAAGCAACTTCGTGTGTTAGAAACGTTCATCTAAAACTTATATGTGCCAGCGATCAAAATATACTACTTTTATCCCATTTAACCGAGCCTGTATTTTTAATGGTTTAAAGTTGCAATGAAAAAATGGTCCATCCCATATACGAAATTTTGTTTTATAAATCTCCAGATATGACGTGCCCCAAACAAATATAAAATAGTAAATAAAATAAAAAAGATTGTTTATAATAAAATATATTCTTTAGTCTATTATGATTTAAAACTTAGTACACAATGAATGGATCATTTCGAGAACACGCTGGCGACCTATTGTAAATCAGTCGGCATATAATCTTTTTGAAATCCGTTAACGCCTCGTCCTGGTAAGTCTGATTAAATTTTCCATCAAACGCAATAGTGGGAATAAAGCTGGGAGAAATACTGTTTGTTTTTTCTCCATTAGCGGCAAATATTTTTTCGGCTTCGCCGCTGGAAAAACATTGTTCTATGCGGGCCCATGATATACCAGCTTGTATGGCGCACTGAAAATGATTTCAGTTAATATAAGCTTCACAATTCGTAGCATATTAGTATAATCACCAGCATCTTTAGAAAACAAATATATAGAAATGAAATCTAACTAAATATTTTATTGACTTTCGATTAAAATGATTAAAATGATTCTAATTTTTAGGACGTCATCAAAAACAACTACAATATAGTGATAAACTTTTGGTTAGTAGATAATTAATTATTTAATAAACGAAGAAATTATTTAAATGCATTTGTACTTACCTGGTGAAGTGTGTCGTTGGCCACTGGGGTCCAAGCGGCTTCTGAACAGTTTATAAAGTTGAGTGTGTCATCTAGTGGAAACAATGTGAGGGCACAACCATGGACTTTATTCCCATAACATTCCTGTGGACCATGTTGGCAACTGTACACCACGGTGCCCGTTGTGTTTATCTCCTACCAGAAAAAATAAGAATTTTTGTTGTTGATAAAGAAATTTACTGAAATAGTTCCAACTTTCATTATGCTATGTTATGCTATCCTCGCTAAGGTTCGTTTTTTATTTCATTATTTCATCAAGAAACAAAGAAGTACAATTGTTGATGTTTTTTCTTAGTGAAAAATGTTATTGTTTTACCGAATTTATTGTCATATTCGAGGAGCGTTCCATCCATCCAGACATTTCCACTTTTTACATTTTACAGGTACCTTAGTTTATGTTTTCATATTTTTATCGATTCGTTATATAAAAATCATTCAAAATCAGCTCCATCTGTTTAAATTTGCATGTAAATAGCAGTGAAAATCAGATATCCCAAAGAATTCCATGTTTTTTTAGAATTATTTTATGATATAGGGTTTGTATGAAAGCTCCTCAATTATACCAAACCATTTGATTTTGTGTAGGTAAATCGAAGAAAGGTGCACTAAACAATATGTTGTGAACATGTTTCTAATTTATCAAAGTTTCTTTTCACAAACAAAATTAGATTTCTAATTTCTAGTACTCGTGAACCCGTATTTCAGTTCTGAATAACCCGGAACAATGAGAATTTTAGTATATTGAAGTTTGAAACCTTCCGATTTCAAAATTAGCTTTCTAGAAAGTTGTGTTTTATAAATATTAAACGAGAACTCTTTATTCGCTTTCGCGTATTTCCATTTTTTCCACATTTTGCCAACAAATTAGAATAACTTTTTAATCTTCAATCCTTAAACTTGTATTCTGTAAAAAGTTGGCTACCAGTTTGATCTTGTGTTTCGTTTGTTAAAGATAATATACACTACATGTAAATGTATAGTGCTGATCTACCCAGACAAGCAATACAATATAGAATATAAATAAATATGAAACGCGCATATCGATTTCTGTATAATCATTTTCCTATGCCACTACCGAAACGCTAACATGTAACGAAATCGTAAACAGGCATATGACTGGACAATACCAAAAAATATGTTCATCACCAAAACATTAATTGCTTTACCAACTTACGAAAACATTTCCATAGGGTATCAGTTCCAAAGCAATAATATCGGATCCAATGGACTTATAAGTGGAGTAGAGCTGGTTGGTTATAAATGCTCTGCTGTCTGAGCATAGCGTCTCGTAGTAAACAGAAACCTTAACAGCATCGTCGGCCTATAAATAGTAAAGAAATCGTAATTATACACGCCAATTTTAACAATCAACTTTAAAAATACCAACAAGATCTTTAATGCAAATAAAATAATATACACTTACAAACAACTTGGCGACTATACCGAAGAATGTTAAAAAGGTTAGCAGTTTAGCACTCATCATTGTTTTCTACAACTCATAAATCATAACTCTGAGTGTGGTGACCCAAGCATCAATTTTGTTATAATTAGGACACAGTTTAGTCTGATAAACGGCTATTTACCATTATTTCTCGTTAATGTTTGTTTAAAACTTATCAACGAAGCATAGAATAACGAGACGTCATTTAAATTTTTCACTTATCTTACTGTTCGATTTTATACTCTTTTGAAGTACTAGCGATACGAATTTTAACAAAACGCAATTAAGGTGCTCTGTTTGAAAGTTGAACTTTGGGTTGGCACTTTAAAAAGTTTTTTGAAAGTTGTACATCTGTTTCACAGACTGTACGGTGAAGTTCTTTCAAAATACCACTATTCCCAGAGGTCCCTATGCATGAAATGTAAAGTGGCGACAAATTCAAAATAGATGGAATATTCTCCGAACAACTGCATTTCAACTTTTAAACTTTTCTTGTTCCGACTGTCGTAAATATGGTATAAAATATATTGAGATCCGTTGTCCCTTTACTAACCGAAACTTCCCATCAGAACTTCCAATGTGTTCCTGTTTGTATATCTGTAAAAGCGAAAATGCGAACAATGGCAGTTCAGCGAAAATTACATGTCGACATGTTGCTTGGACAACAAGAAAAGTTTTAGGACTTCGATAAATGGGTTTAGTGATTTCCAAAGCAAATTTTTAAAAAGATGTTTTAGCTAAATTTTACTCATATTAATGTAAAATGTGAAAACTACTCTTGTGAAAATTTTGGCTTGCGAATATATTATACAATTCAGCATGGCGAGAAACATTTAAAGACGCCGATATATCTTAGAGACATTTAAAGTTATAAAATTTACGCTTAGAGTAGAGTCTGGCGCATTCGCCATTTTAATACTCCCTTTATCTAAAACTGCATACTCATTTTTATAATGGCTAAAATAAAAAATTAACCCATTTTTTATTATTTTTCCGAATTTCTATTGCATATTTCAAATACATGACATTTTTAAAATATATTTTTTGTACTCACTACTGTAAAATTCTACACTTCACTGATCAAGCAGTGTTACTTCAAGACAACCACCGCCGAGTTTCAGATGGTAACGTTACCCGTAATTTAGCGAATATGTTCGCGTTGTTTTTGCCAAAAAGTACACAACTAATGGTGAAAAAAAAAATATAGGCAACACGTTAATAAACTTCCTCAGTCACTCCTTTATTAAACACTCCCTCCGTTCCTGGAAAATCTCGAAGTCGTGACTAAAGCGCAGTTTATCAAACTTGTTGCATAGTATACTATTTCGTATTTTACTTAAATTGTTAACATCTATAAATGTCTGCGTAGTTGTTAAAAAGAGGAATCAATTTCATTCTTAACATTTTTGTCTACCAGTATGGCTACTCGAGACATAGAAACCCTGCCTATGCCAATAATACAGAAACTTAACTAAAATTTCTAAAAAAAGTGTGTTTGCCAACAATTTATAATGTTTTATTGACCGAAGTTAATAATTTAATTGAAATAGAAAAAAAACAAGAAAAAAAGATTGTGAGTACGTGAGTGGATAGCAAGAAGAGATAAATTTGATGCATCTGCAAATCTTCTCAAAGAACTAGCAGCTGAAGATATTATGGAGTTTCAAATGTGTTTAAGAATGTCGCCTAAAAGTTTTCAAACCCTTTTGGACATGGTTACCCCTAAAATTGAGAAACAAGACACTCAAATGAGGGATGCCATACTTCCCAAAGTAAAATTGGAAGTGACCTTAAATTTTCTGGCTACTGGAAACAACTACCGTTCCCTACAACATTTTTTTCTAAAGTTTCTAAACCGACTTTATTCCAGTAGTTTGTGATGCTATTTATAAAAGCCTCAGAGAATGTATTAAGGTAATTTTTTTATTATATTCATAGGTAATCAGGTAAGCAATAAAAACAATTTACTTTTTAATATCAGTTTATATCAAAATTTGTAGTTTAAATCACGTACATACATACATACATATCGCGTACATAAAAGGGATAGGTATATTCCTCAATATCATTGGTGATTCTCCATGCTTCTGATAATATGTTTATTCCTTCTGTATATTGTTCTTGTTGTTGAACTCCTGAATAATCAAAGGCATTTGAAGAGGATCGCGATGCTGAATGCATAAAATAAGATGGTGAGGTATAGTTGTCTGGGTGCTGCATAACACGAGGTTGGGGAGGAGAAGAAGCTGAAACTTCTGGTATATTAGCCAGCCTGTACCGTATCAACACATTTTGGATATCACTTTGCGCCAGGACCGCGTGCCTTTGTGGTAGCTTATCTAGCATTAAAGCAATGTATTTTCCGAATGTTTCATTTTCCCCCATAAGAGGTTCCGGCTGAGTAAGAACCTGATTCATTACGCGCAACTCATTAATAGCGTCGGATATGTTTTGAAGACGACGTTTGGTACCTTTCGAATTTCCACAGGTCAGACGAATTGGTGTTTGTTCACGTAGGGTTTCTTGCGAAGGTTTTTCTTGCGTGCCTTGATGTTCAGCGACATTATGAGATTCTTCCGAAGTTCCGTCTTGTGTATCTTGATCAGTCTCTGTTTCACTGGAAACTTGGGTGTCCTAAAAAGATTTTTTTTTAGCTTTCAGCGACTAATGATTCTTAAACATTTTGGCAAAGTTAGATTCACTTGTACTCAAAGGAAGCAAATCACTATACACTGAATCAAACTAATAAAGAATCCGGTATGTTACACGGTATCCATGTTAAAATTGACATGGCTACCATGTAACATACCAGATGTACCATTCTTTATTAGTTTGACTTTGAATATAGTAGAAAGACAAACTAAATACATTTAAAAGTGGTTTTGAACAAACATTTTCAGGAAGTAATACAGAACCACATAAAAAAAATTCAAAACCTCTGAGTGAAACTCCTTTTCAATGTATCTAGTTCACTCTTTTAACCAAGAGAAAAATTTCAGAAATAATTTATTATGACTTTAGTAAATAAAAATATTTAAATTTGTTTCAGGTGCCATCCAGCCATATAGAATGGAAAACTATAATCAATGGTTTTAAAGATAGATGGAATTTTCCACTATGTTGTGAAGCTATTGATGGCAAACATGTACTTATCAATGCTCCAGACGAGGGAAGTGAATTTTATAACTACAAAGGCACAAACAGTGTTGTCTTGTTAGCAATTGCGGATTTTAAATACTGTTTTTCATACTTTCAAGTGGGAAAGAAAGGTTCACAGTCAGATGGCAGGGTTTTCCAAAATTGTTTAATTTTAGAACCGCTAGAAAATGGTTTACTCCCAAATGGAAACTATTTTGTCGCAGATGACGCCTTTCCTTTAAAACCCTACATAATGAAGCCCTACACAAACTACAATAGACCTCTTACGCAAGAGGAGAAAATTTTTAATTACCGACTAAGTCGCGCCAGAAGAATAGTTGAAAATGTCTTTGGTATTCTGGTCAGTAGGTTTCGAGTCTTTGATAGAGAGCTGGATGTCAAATTATGTACTGTTAATAAAATTGTCGCTTCTGCTTGTGCATTTCATAATTGGCTAGTTATCACAACAAAGTCAACCTACACTGATTGGCAATGAAATCCTCCTTTTAAAAATTTTTATGATAAATATAATGATTCAAACGTTTTGAATCTATCCCCGTTGGCCGATTTTTTCTATCACGTCTAAATTTTTCGATATGATTTTTTTTTATATTTCAAATTTTTTTTTTTTTCAATTTTTTCATTCGTCAACGTTACAAAAAGTAAATATACATACAAAATGAGTTTCAGAGAGTTGTAAGAGAAAGGAGGGAAGTACCGAAGGTGATTTTTATGGTAGTAAATACGCGCATGCGCAGTATTCATTGTGACACTACAACAGTTCAGTGAAAACTTGTCGTTTAATTGTTTACCTTTTATATCAAAAAGTTCATGTTCTCTACATTGGATTTAATTATTTGATGTGTAGTTTGAATATTTTTTTTTTAAGTAGAGTCAATAAATATAAAATATAAGTTTGAAAGTTGTTTTAAAATTAATTTTATGTGATTTCAGGTTACAAAATGCCACGGACTTGTAAAAATTCCTCAGATTGTTTTTGCTACATTTGTGGGGAATACATACTAAAACCACAGCGACATGTCATGACCGAACTGGTTAAAACAGCTTATAAGCTATATTTTGGATTTTCTATCGATGAGCGAGATAAAAGTTGGTTGCCAAAAGTATGCTGCAATAGCTGTTCAAGAACGTTGAGAGGTTGGCTTGAAGAAAGTCACAAATCCTTGTCGTTTTCAATGCCAATGATTTGGAGTGAGCCTCAAAATCATGAGAATGATTGTTAATTCTGCATGACATCTACACGAGGATTCTCGAAAAAAAATAGAGATAAGATTGTTTATCCGATCGTCCTATCTGCCAAGAGACCGATTTCTCGTGATAAAGACACTCCACCTCCAGTTCCACCAGTTAATGAGAAGGCTGAAAATAAAAATATTTCAGGTCTACAATCTCAATCGAGTTTTCTTTCTGATAGTACATCTTCATCTTCATACACTTTATCTGGATCTTTATGTCCATCTACAGAACCTCATTTACTTGAACAAGGCGGCTTAAACGATCTTGTTAGAGACTTGGTACTTTCAAAATCTAAGGCACAGTTACTCGGATCAAGGTTAAAACAGTGGAATCTATTGGCTAAAAGTACCAGAGTTTCATATTTTCGTACGAGGCAAGAAAGTTTTACAAGTTGCTTCTCTAAAGAAGATGATTTGGTATATTGTAATGATGCTGCAGGGCTTCTTCAAGAACTAAGTTTTCCAGAAGATTCTAGTGAATGGAGACTTTTTATTGATGCTTCAAAAATAAGCTTGAAAGCCGTTCTACTTCATAATGGTAATAAATACCCATCTGTCCCCATTGCAAATGCTACAAGCATGAAAAAAAATTATGCAAACCTTGAGGTATTACTTGAGAAAATTAAATATTCTCAATACCTATGGAATATTTGTGCTCATTTAAAAGTTGTCGCTATACTGACTGGACTACAAGGAGGAGACACAAAATTTTGCTGTTTTCTTTGTGAGTGGAATAGCCGCGCAAGAGACAAACATTGCAAAGTAAAAACCTGGCCATCAAGAAAAAGTTTGACTCCTGGACTTAAAAATGTTTCTCATAAACCGTTAGTGCCATGCGAGAAAATTTTTCTGCCACCCCTTCACATAAAGTTGGGACTCATAAAAAACTTGTATAAAAAAAAACTATGTATAAAGATGGTGCAGGTTTTCAATACTTGAAAACAAAATTTCCTCGAATCAGTGACGCGAAATTGAAGGAAGGAATTTTTGTAGGTCTGCAGATACGTGAGCTCATGAAGGATGAGGTTTTTGATTCGAAGTTGAGCAAAGCAGAAAAAAGAGCTTGGGTAGCCTTTGTGGAGGTGTGTCATAATTTTCTTGGGAACGCAAAAAGTGACAACTATCAACAAATCATTCGGGAGCTATTTTCTGCTTATAAAGCTTTAGGATGCAATATGTCACTCAAGATCAATTTTTTTAGACTCGCATTTAAATTTCTATCCTGAAAATCTTGGAGCTGTATCAGATGAGCATGGTGAAAGGTTTCATTCACCGAGAAACTCCAATGGAATCTATGAAGAGGAAGAAAACTACTAAATAATTTGAATTCTATCACTCCATAATGAAATAACTGACGATATTTATTAGTTTTGTTAATATAATTTAGGATTTTTTACTGTAAAACTCAAGCCGCCACATTTTTTTATTTCCTTATAATAATTTATACTTTAATAATATTGTTTTTTGATGAAATAAATATTAAATTAAAAACCTACGTGTGGTACTTATTTGTATATCAGATTCCGTGTTTAGAGCATAAAATAAGATGAATTCATGCATGAAAACAAGACGGAGAGAAAAAAAAAATTTTTGCAGACCGTGTTATTTGCCTACAGGTGTCATTGATGAAGAAAATGTGAAACAGGCGAAATAATTCCTGGGAATTGGAGGTCCCAAATCAGAGAGCTGAGAAATGTCGAAAAAGCTGCAGGTCACCGAACAACAAACCTATAAACAAAAATTAAAGATCGTCTAAAAGATTACTATAATGGCGAGGGCGCTGTTCCTTGGCAATACACAGCAACCGCTGGTACCTTATTAGCGAATTGAAAATAACTTTTTTTCAATTATGCACGGATGTAACTACTTACATTACTTGTTATATGAAATAAAGATTTTTGTTACATATATACAGAAATTTTAATTAATAATATAAAAAAAACTTGCCAAGTTGCTAACGGTTTCACCTGGATCCTTTGCACCTCTCATTATCTCATTCATAATATGAAACCATTTTACAGCAGGTGAGTGCACGTCTTCAGGGCAGGTTCCTGACATTTCTTAATTTTTTGCACTTCTTGATTGTAAGTAGATCGAATATTTTTTATTTTCTGCTTAACTTCGGCAACTCCAAACCCATCTCTAGACATTTCGGTCATTATAGCTTCGATAGCTCTCTGACATTCATGGTCACGATAGAGTTCAACAAATTTTTCGTTCCACTTCATTTTTACTATTTTGCCACTTCAATCAACAATCACAAACCGTTTTTTTTATTTTGGCGCGAATTACTCTACTATCTAATAGCAAGAAACATGTTTAGACGGGTCAAGTGTTCAGTCAAGTTCACGACAGAGTAGTAGTGGGAGGGGCAGGAGGGGGCAACTTGGGCAAGTTACCATGCTGTCCGCTGAACCACTCGACTCGCCGGCTACTTGCCTTTATGCTATACCTATTAACTCGACTAATTATTTACATTAGTCGCGCTGCCGTGCTTTTCTTAACTCGACATTTTCCTTATCCGTTTACTCGACCAATGTAAACTAGCCTTAAATCTCGCTAAATGTTCGCTGTTTAGAAAGAAAATAACGCAAAATGCCGGATAGTGGGTGCAATGTAGAGGCATGCGGCGCATCCCTTTTTACCGTGGTAGGCCAACTATATTATCTAATACAATTGTTCAATAATTTTGTAGTTATACAGATGTGGACCTCCGACGTTTTAAGAAAAACAAAATGAGAGATTATTCAGACAAATTTTGATTAAATGTAAAATATTGCCGTGCTATCTGTTTTTCTTTAGGGCAATATATTAGATTACTGTTCACGCTGCACGCTGCTGTTATAATTTGCATCTCAATCTCTCATTTAATTTTCTTAGTCTTTAATAAACATAATAGAATATATATTTAATTTAAACATTACATATTTTGATCATGAAACGAACTTTTTCAAATTATTTTTTTTTTAATATTATTTTTTTATTTAATTTTATAAGCACTGCTGCAAAATTTTGCCCACACTAATGTCTTAGAAAATAGAGTATAATATCAGCAGATTATATAAATGCCCCTTTAATCACGAGTTTCATTCGGCACGAGCGCAGCGTACCAGTACACGAGTTACTGAAGACACTTATCAAAATGTCGACATAATATACTATTTTCTACGACCATTAGTGAGTGAACTTTTGTAAAACAGGAGCCAACCATTGAAAATAACTGGATCGAATTTTTACTCGTAAACTTACAATTCTTATAATTTTTGTGAATGCGAAAATGTTAACAGCAAAGATGAAAGAAGGGTAGGGCAGGTAATTAAAAACAAAGGATTATTTGATAATTAAGTAGCACATTTTCTATTACTTCGTAGACTCTCCTATTCTTTATATAAATATAATAAATATCATTTCATTATTCTACAAAAACTAAACAGATGACTCGTCTATAATATGTATGACTCTATTTGGAAACGGCTTCCAATTATTTCCATTTTCGTTGCTCTTAGATGCCTTGTTCTCTTCTCCGATGTCGCCCTCTTTTGTTTCCCCATTAAGTTTTTCTGTTTCACCATTCTGAATGAACTTGGGCTTCGCTAGGGACCACCTACAATAAAAATGAAATCATTATCATTACATTATCATTAACGAAATGTTGTGCCTAGTAAACTATGTAATGTTGCTGTTTCCAGTTCAAGTGTGCGCTGTAGAAATTGCAATATCTGGTCAAGGCTTATGAAATGTAGTAAATCACAACATTTTGTCCCAGTTTGTTTATAAACACTTTTATGATTTCACAAAAAAGCAATTTTTAATTTTATTCAGTCTTATTGACTTTGGGTTATTCACAAGATCGTTTAGCAATGCCTTCTGCTAAAATATGTATCGCGCAACGTCTCTTAAATAAATTTACAGGAGGCCTACGAAAGACTATAAAAATATGAAACATGATTGACCGGAATTCTACAACAGCGATGCGATGTTGGACAGAACAGTCTGAACATCGTTTGAGCTTCAAGAAGAAACAGAAAGGTGTTCCCACAACCAGCGCAATCAGGAATGAGCGGAGAGTAGCTACAGGATGACAGATAGCCTCGAGATCGATTTATGGACTTATGGTTCTCTATTGGAATTTACATGGACCGGGTCGTTTTCAGAGATGGGTCACATTATTGGCGTTTGAATGTTGCATGGAGCGTGAGACTGCACTTATTCTGGGAAAATCTACTACAAGCAGATATTGATCGTCTGATTCCCAGCATGTCAATATGTCAAAAGTTATGTGGAGGGGCCAGTTGACTATTGAATTTTTAAGAATTACTTTCAAGTTGTTTGAAAAGTGTAATCACATTCAATCACATTTTCCAGAACTATTTAACAAGATATTAATAAAATGTATTAACATTTACTAGTGGTTGCACTTTCTATGTCACACACCATATTTTTTGAAGCAATTTGTATGAATTATAGTATATGAATGTCGCGCTTTAGTAAATATGCGCACTTACCTCCTACCTTTTCTATCGAGCATCACCGGTAGTTCCGCTATCAAATTATTTTCAAATTCGCTAAGCATTAAATAATTTTCTACTTTGTTACAGGACGTTATACAGTCTCCAATGTAGTCAAGGTCGTCTAATATATTATCCGGAAGATCCATGTCAGCAATTCCTAAAAGGCAAATCCCAAAATTAGAAAAACGCAAAAAAATAAATAGTTTTCAATATAAAAATGATCTGACATATACACATTAATATTATTTACAGATATCTTAAAACTTGTTTAAAAATGTATACTGCCAATCCTCAATAGATATTTTGTGAGAAGCTTACCAGTAGCTACCATGGAGTAAAAATGCATCTAAAAAGACTTTGTACAAGTATCAAAGTACGATAACTTAATTCAGATGTTCTACTGAATAGGGAACTTGAACGTTTTTGTTATTTCTTTAATATTTAAGTTGCAATAAATAATTTCAGTTCTGACACTCGGTCATTACTTTTAAACGAACTTAAACATGCTGGAATGATCGTGACGTAATACTGCTGCTTTTCGATCGATCCAGCGACATGTTATACTTTTATTTTTGTATGTTTGTATTTAATCTACGCCAGTTTGTATTTGTGCTTAGTGTGCTTAATATGATAATAATGAAGCAACACAAAAACTATTACAAATAGTGCCAACTTTTTATTCATCTACCAGAAAATGAAAGTCGTCATTTTTTGTTAACATTATGTTCAGGTGTCACTTTAGCCTTAACAGTGCAAAAATTTTTAACTCTTCGAACTTGCACCCATCCTATTGCAGTCTCCCTATGAATGGCTCATTCACCTATATAAAATGCAGAACACTTTAAGTTATCAGTGCCAACATACTCAGTATTTCGGTTTCCACTGCTTTAAAAAAAATATTTTTGCTTTTCTTTTGAATAATTTACATTTTATTTGATATACCATTTGAATTTTAAAAATTGAAAACTTTTACAATATTATATTGGTTTAAAACTAGTGGATAAATTTTCTATGAACACACCTTTTAGCTTTAACACTGTGAACCTCAGCAAAAGAAAAACTCTCGATGTTTTGTATATAAGATATCATCTTAAACATATCCACTAAAGATAAATTATCAGATTGACCTTTTAAAAAATCGGTTTCGGTCATTTTCAAAACTTTCTTTTTGATACTAAACACAAGATACTAAAAGCAAGCGACGGGATCAAGATTAAAATTAAAATCAAAACGACCAAAACGAAAGCGTTGTCGTTCTGTAATGAACGAATTGACGTCACAAGCGATCACAGCCAATGACAGCGCGTTTCAAAATTTTTTTGTGAACTGTGGTTCTTTTAGTAGTATAACTTACTTTAAAAGCAATATTTTTCAAATTAAAATTTTGTTCCCTATTCCATAGATATTTGTTCTATTTTAAGGCAAATAATCAAGTATAAAAAAAGGGACATTAAAAATTGTGAAAGAATTTTATTTCCAAGCAAAACATTAGTTATGAATTTTAGTTAAGAAAATTACTTTTTAGCAATTTCATTTCTGCATTGCTGCAGAGAAGCAGATTCGTTTCTAACTAATCTTGGTAAGTTTCGGTAACTTTCAATCATATTCGAAAGAAAAACACTTTAAAGCAATAAAACAAAACAATGTAATATAAATAGGCCCACTACTGAATAAGCAAAACAACCAGTGGAATGCTAACTAACCAATGACGTCAGCTTCAATCAGAATATCTTGTCAGGCATGCATAAATATTTTGCTTTAATTGGCCATATACAAAGTGTTCAAGAAAAATTTCCCTTGACAAAAGCTATAAAGTTATCTGGACTGAAATATTCAACGTTTTATTTTCCAGTTTCCCCACAGCGAAAGTCATTTTTAAAACTGGCAATTTTATTTTAATCAAATATATTTCAGTACGTATCACCTAGTTTCAAAGGCGCTTTCTCGAATTTTAGAAGTTAAACAAATACACGCACCTTCCTCCGATATGCAAGTCAGTTCTTTATCTCCAGACACGATTATATTATCGATAAGCCCGCCCGACTGATTGGGATTTATATCGGCTCCCAACACGAGAGCGGCTGCGGTTCCTGCGGTGACACCTGCATCGTTTTCGGGTTCCTGCGAAAAAGACAATTTCCTGCGTTGAGGGCACGATTCGTTTTTGCAGAGATGCCGAGTACCGTTTTCTCTGGTGTGCTTGTGTCTGGAGATTTTTCGACGATGTACGTCGATCAAGAAAAGCATCAGACTACCGAGAAGCACACAGGCGGAGCTAAAGTAGTAGCCAGTCCGTTCTCCGTATTTCTCGTTTAAATATCCTACAATATTACTGATTTTAACAAATGATTTATATAAAATTATATAACTTCGGGAGAAAAAATACAAACAATCTTACATTTGACTTATGTCATTATCTGAAAAAATTATTTAATATTACTATTATATAAAATTGACTTTTGTTTTGCTCTTATTTTTTTTTCTTAACTGCTTCTCAAAGTTGATGCCACTTTAATGCAAAATAAAATAAAGTTGAATTTACGCCCTTCTTATTTCATAAAAATAGTAACAGCGATATTTACAACATCTATATTATCACGTATTTGAAGGTGAAATTCAATACCAACATGCTTAGCCGCAAGATTAGCACAAATTACACCAATATTTACTTCAAAATCACACAAACAGATTATTGTGGAGAGTTTATATTAAAATATGTATTAAGTATTATTAATAAATAAATAAAGCACAAACAAATATGCAAGTTGTGAAAAATTATTATTAAAAGAGCTTTTAAACAAAACTGGCGATTATTTTTTAGTTTATTTTTACCCTTTGAACAGTTAAGATCGTAAAGCCATTTAAATCGGACTGTCTGGCAGAAAGATTTCTATTATGGTTCACGAACATCTAAATTAGTGAAACTGAGACCACCTCAGCTTTTACTATTCATCTTTGTCTCACGCGTCATAAGTTTTGTCTTAATAAAAAAGTTAACAACTTAATATGCGTTACTAAAGAATAAGATCTTTCCAGATGTTTGCAGTCTAGCCTTTTCCCACAAATTCTTATATAAAATACGTACACGTATTAATAATTTTTGAGATAATTTTATAAAAATGCAAAAACATACACTAATCCATATCAGCAGCCACAGGAAAAGTTTTTTTTTCTAAAGCAATCGAGAAAAAAATTGTTTCTTTGGAAAAAAATTATATAATAATTCAGAATAATCAAAATCCAGTTTGTGTCCAAAGTTTATTTGCTTTTGCCTATGCACGAAAATTTGTTAAATGATATTGCCAAAGACAACTAATATATTTATTGGCTCTGTATTTCCATTTTTTTTTTGGAGCAATTTTGAAAACATCTACCAAGATTGCCTATTCCTCGCGTAAAATAATATCGAAAACTACTTAGAAAATCTAGCAGACATATAGTTACTAAGTAAGAATATATTTTAAAAATAGATTGCCATTTAAATCCAATAGTGATTATCCATATTCAAACGTCTCAACTCTTCAACTCTTATTAGACCACAGCCATGCTAGTTTACGACTTTGATGTATCGAGGTGCTATAAGGTTATAATAAATTAGATAAGTTTAGTATAATATGAAAGGCAGAATTAACTTACTTCCTGCTTATCAATTACTGCCTCATTAATCATTTAAATGACCATTCACCGGAGCCCTTGCCTTGGAAGGAATTAATTATCTGTAAAAGCATTGCCAATGAACCTTTCCAATGAAGCCCAAAAATATCGTATTTTATATATATACGTATTTGTGTAAATTAGTGAATGACATTGCACTTTTTCTTTGTAAAATTGGGTCGAGCTTATTGTATTTGTATACATTTCAATTTCACACGTGATATAGTTATGGTTACTAATAGTCAAAGAAACAGACGCTCATATTATAAAATATGCTGTTTTACTCTTAAGACTTGGATATTTCCGGAATGTTAACTGACCAATTAATATCCCATTTATAAAGGCGTACGTCGTAATCAGATGTAATTGTATTATATGAACTTTTATTTACAAAAAAAAGATTCATATTTCAAACTACCCAAAAATAACAAGTCTTTTCTAATTGAAAAAACAGAATGTAAACAACTCATTAAATTCACATGCAAATACTGTATTTTAAAAGCCAATATTGATGAGACGTTTTACGGATTGCACATTTTGCCTGTTTAACCCATTTGTCTGTATTTCGCATTAGAACCTCTTTCTGCTGGACAATACGCAACATTTTTTATCCTTCATATTTGGTTAATTCACTTTAACTAGTTCTATACATACATAGCTTATGGCCTTACTTTTCGTCATTTGTAATAATTTTGACTTTGCAAAAAGAGGAGACAAAAATTTTTCTATTGCAAAATTGAATATGTAGGATTGAACGACTTGCTTACCGGAAAACGGAACTCCTGTTATAATAGGAATTCCCTGTGAACATTGAACGAAGCCCCAAGTTCTACCAAAATTCCGAGCCCGGACACGTTGGTAAGTGTACATCTTCAGAGAATACTGGTAGCCACCGTAAAAGAAACCTGTTAAAAAAATTAAATCCGTTATTCAAGAATTCCTTAATTATCAATAATTTGAAAAATACCAATTACGTTCCAAGAAAGCGAACAATTTGCATTAATCTATACTAAACAACTCACCCTAAAAGAGCTTATAAAAGGTTTTGTCAAATCCATTATCCGACAAGGATTTAGGGAATTACAACACAATCGTATCCTAATTAATTTCGAAAATTCCACGGGAATATTGAACGGATACGAAGGTCGTTGGCTAAAGCCTAAGGAAATATATGCGTACGAATTTGGGTTTTCCCTACACTTGATACCACGTAGGAAAAACGGGCCCGGTGGTGGAATATCGATTGAATACAAATTATACTTTGAACATTTTATCATAAAATATTTTTCAGTGAAATTAGACCCGTTTACCCAAGTGACTATTTATCCTAGCTATAGTCTACTTCTTGGGATCTGGATTATTTATAATTGCATTTGCATTTACAGTTGCCTCTGACGCAGATATTTAAAGCCATTTTCCTACTGTAAATACCTTTTATAGTAAATTTATTGCACGGATAATTTGCCTATTAACTACGTAGAATGTTTTGGATCGTAATGAAAAAATTAATCGTGTTCTATATCGAACTTTATTTAAACCAGTTGTCGTACACCATATTAATCTATATCGCATAGAGTGGGTCCAATATAAGAATGTCTATCATAGTGATATTTGAAACCATAAGAGATACGAAGATGGTTAAATTAGAAAAAGGATGACAAATTTAAAGGTTAATAAGATGCGTTGAAAAAATTAAAAACATTCCAAATTTGCCGATTTCGTTTTTTCATTTTCTGGAGTTATTTAAAGAGACGTAAAAAAGGTCACTTTTTGAGCTCTACAATTATGATGTTTCGATTTATTTTTTTCGATTTCTCTGAAACGAAACGGCGTACTTATAATCCTTCAAAGCTACCTTCTAGCGCGCAAAAACTGGCAACTTTTTTTTTATATCTCTTGTAATAACACCAGAAAGAAAAATAAAAACGAAATACTCAAATTTCGGTATTTGGGCAGAATTTTTTTAGTTTTCTCAACAGCACGTGATTAACCTTTTTCCTAATTTACACATTTTCGTATCTCTTATGGTTTCCAATATCTTGAACAAACTGTATATCACAAACAACTATGAAAAAGAAATTACACGAATTTTATTCTAACATTTATCCTTTTACTTTTTCATTGGCTGTGGGAAAAGAATTATTAAAGCTTTTATTTTGTTAACGCCGTCTTTACTAGTGCTAACAAAGCCACATGTATTTATATCTGTGTTTATTAACTTAACATAAAATTTTACCCACAAAATTTTATGATACATTTATGTATACTGTTTGGAAGCATTATTTTAAGTTGATTTTTACGGCATATTTATTTATAAAGGAATACAACAACCCGACGGTGTAACTATAAGAAGTGGTTCATATAACAGATTTTTATAAACTCACCGTATATCCAAGTAAACATGACATAGGCGTGGTAGTTGTCTTTTACAAGGGTGAAGGCTAATATTGATAAGCCGCACATAAATCCAGAAGTTTGACACAGATATTGCCTTGCTATTTGACATTCTGACGAGTTTTGAAGTATCAAGAGACTGAAAGTAATGCAGCCAACCGTCCATGCCAAACCCAGATATACCTGCAGAAGAACTGCCGAATTGCCCAAGCCTGTATAAATAATATTTCAGAAAATAGCGAACATCGCACAAATAATCAGTAATAAGAAAAAAATTCTGTTTCATACAAGTTAAGGTTTTCTAACGAAGGATCTCGTTTTTAAAAAACACTTTTTTATTTTGCAAACAGAACTACGAGGTTTTCTTTAACCCGCTACAAGGAGAACTGGACGCAAAGCACAGAGTTGTTATATATATAAAGTTTTTATGCAAGCGTCGCGTCGCAGATACTGGGAATACTGAAGCTAGCATTTCATCAGCATATTCTATCACATAATTCCTCCCTCCGAAGTGGAAAACAACAGGGACGAAGGGTTGTTTTCGGAAGACTGGTCGTTCTTGGTTTTCTTGGAATCTTGCAGCAAATGGCTCTTGTAGATTTTCCATGCTATAACTATTAACAAGATTAAAATAAACATCATTCCTGTTGAAGTGGCGAGACTCCAAGTGACTGGATGAATTTCATAACCAATGTCGGGGATCGATGATTTCGCAGCTTCTCGTAGTTTTTTGATCGTATTGAGATCAATCGATTGTAGTTGGAGTGGCTGGTACTTCACATCGTGATGTTCCATATTTTCAATTTTAATGGGTGGCAGTGAGAATGGGTTTGCTTTAAAAATTTCTTCTTTATTCCAAAGCTCGGTATTTTGGGTACTTATACCACAATTATATGGAACATTGATTAGGCAGGCTTCTTCAATAAAAGCTATTTCTTTGTTTTGACAATTCATTTGTAATTTAAGTTTCTGTTCCGATGGTATTATCAAAACAAATCTACTAGTGATTGGTCGTATTATATGCGTTGAAACATTTACATTGACTACGTGGAAATTTTTGTTTTCGGCATATTTAATGAGGGTTGTCACACAATCACCGATGGGCTGGGTAAGTTGATTTTCGCAAACGTAGGTGTCTTCAATGATTGGGCAGATTGATTCTTGATATTGTTGCATGTCAGTGCCCAATATTGGGTAGGGTGAATTAGGTATAATTAAGGAGTGATTCACAGGTACTGGGAACAGGTGGAATATTTCAAAAATATCTTTAAGAAAAATCGGAATATGGACGGCAAAAATTATTTTATCTTTTGTAAATTTAACTTGTAAGTTTGCTAACTGATAATAATTATTTTGATTTTCAAAAATTAGAATTTGATTATCACCATAGAGAACAGTCAATTTAAAAATTATTTGTTCTAATTCGGCCGCCGATATTACTACAGGATGTAATGTATTTAATTTCGCAAATGTAATGGCATTTTCTAAATTATCCAAAAAAGTTATAAAACTTTGGCAATTTAGAATTATTTGCATTAGTGTATTTTGAGCTTTAATGAAAGTAGTTATGTCAGTAATAGTTCTATTTGAATTATATTCAAAAATGTCTATATGTTTTTTAATAGCTTCTTGATTTTTCTGTAGAAGTGTTATAGTATCATTATAGTTGTCAATCAGCTGTTGAATCAACAGGTTTGCTTTTTTAGTTGGATGTCAGATGAATGTTTACTACGCACAAGTTCTGTGATAATTTTATCGTATTTTTGTCCATCCTCTGAATCGAGAGTGCCAAAAAGCCATTTCGATAATTTACCTACAACATTTATTAAACCTCTTTTTGTACGGTTATTAGGTTTTATGTTACCAAGTTTAAATTTTACTTGAGTAATTAAATATCGAACATTATTAAGTAAATTATTTCCATTAATATAGTGTACATTCTGATAATTATGTTTATTTGTATAGTTTAATGATTTTGAGATTACAGCGTAAGCGTATTCTAAATTACGTAATTGATTAAAAAGTTGAGATGTTTCCACAAAATGCAAAAATGTATGTTGATGTTGAATTATTCGAGCATTTCCTAAGCGGAAGGGGAGAAGTGGTGTTTTAATTGGGATAACTTCAATATCATTATTCGCTATCACTAATAACAGCGTAGCTGCAAGAAGGAACAGCGTTGTCCGGTTCATTAACCTGCGAAGAAGAAAAAGCTTTAGGTTTTTGGATCTGAGATTTATGAATTATTTTTTTATTTTTTGTAATAATTTTATTCCCAATATCTTGATCTATAATAACAGGTTTTCTTCTTTCTTACTACGTTTTGCTGTTTTGTCAGTAACGTAAACCTTTGTATTTTGTTTCATTTCAGGTGGATTTTCTCGTTTTTCGTTTTGTTTTTCATTTAAACGTATTTTTGTTTCTAACGATGTTTCGTAAATTTGTTGATAGATAGTTTTTAGTCTTTCACGTCTATCTGTGATATAATTATTTACAATGATTTCATCCGTTAAATCAAAGGGATCTAAACCGTTTACTTTTCCATTAATAACGTCAAAAGGTTTTTGTTTTGTTACGCTATGCATTGATGAATTATAACCTATAATGGCGTATTTTATTAAATTTTTAGGGGCTTCTTTAGGTTCTTTTAATTTTAGTACCCTATATAATTCAACAAGAGTAGAGTGAAATCTCTCTATTGGACTATTACTATTAGAATTGCCGGGAGTTGTAAAATGAATTGCAATTTTATGCAATTTACAGAAATCTAAAAGCAAAGACGTTTTAAATTCCGTACCATTATCACACGTTATTTGTTGAGGTAGGCCGTGATGACTTATAAAGGTCGCTAAACCGTCTAAGATAGCAATTGCTGTGCAAGCGGGTTCTAACGGATAAGCTTGGGCGTACCGTGAAAATACGTCTATAATTGTAAGAAATTTTACGTTACATATTTGAAAAGTATCCATATGGATGGATTCTAATGGTTCAGAAGGGGTCGGTGTCAACATAAACTTTAATTTTGGTGGATGTCGATCATATTTTGTTTGTTGGCACGTGTCACAATTATTAATATATTCAGTTAGGTCAGTTTTCATATTTGGCCAATAATAGAGCCTTTTTAATGCTATTAGGCTTTCATTAATTCCTCGATGACAGGTTTTTTCATGATGATATGCAATTAGGTCTTTTTGTTTTGTCCTGTCAGTGACGTCAGTTAAAAGAGTTTTCGATATTACCAATTTGTAAGCACGGTTTTTAAATGTATTTGGTAACAAAACAGATAGTTCTCGATTTAAATCTATTTCGGTATTTTGTACATAAAGGCAGTACATTTTTGTTGGATCCAAATAATCTAAAAAGAATTTAATTATTTCATTTTGATAGTTTTGACTTAAATAAACAGAAAATCTAGATTTATTTTGGAATGGGTAACTCCTAATTACGTGATAACGACCGTTTGTTTTTTGGTTAAATATTATTTGATTAGAGTAAGTATTTAAAATATTTTCGGTAATTGGTATATTTAATATTGGATCTTCTGCTGCTGAGTGTACTGTCTCACCAGTATTAGGAATATTTGGCGGTTTAAGTTGAATGTCCGAGATGATATTAATTTTTGGAGTGTTTACATTTTCTAGAGGGTTAAACACGTCTTCAATTTGTTCCAATTGTTCAAGGCTTATATTTTGATCTTCTTCATGTATGTATTTATCGATATCTTCATTAATATCTCCAGGATTTCCGAAAAGTGACTCTTTATCTATCATATTTAGTTCGATGCGTGATAGGGCATCAGCGTTAGTGTTCAGTTTGCCCTTCTTATAATGAACTGTGTAATCAAACTCTTCCAGTTTTAGTCGCCATCTTAGCAATCTGGAATTTGGTTCTTTCATATTAAACAGGTATTGTAGAGGTTTGTGATCGGTAACTATCACAAATTTTCGGCCAAATAAATATGGTCGGAAATATTTTGTTGACCACACGATTGCTAATAATTCTTTCTCTATGGTTGAGTAATTGCTTTCAGCCGGGTTCAATGTCCTAGAGGCAAAGGCTATGGGAAGATCACTACCAATTTTTCCTTGGCTGAGAACCGCTCCTATAGAAACATTAGAGGCGTCCGTTGTCAATATAAAAGGTTTTTCGAAATCTGGATATTGTAGTATTGGATCATTGCACAAGATATTTTTACAAAGATCGAATGCTTCTAGAAATTCTGGCGTGTGTTTGATGGTCGCTCCTTTCTTTAGGCAATTTGTGAATGGCTTGGTGAGTTTTGCAAATCCGTTAATAAATCTTCTATAGTATCCTAGAAGGCCTAGAAAAGATTTTATGTCTTTTGCTGTTTTCGGTACAGGAAATTTCTGGATTGCAATAATTTTCTTGGGATTCGGTTTAATTCCGTTTTTTGTTATTATGTGACCCAAAAATTCTACTTCGGTTCGTAGGAATTCCGTTTTATCTAGTTGAATTTTTAGTCTAGCTTGTCGCAGTTTTTGGAAAACAAGTTTAAGATGTTTGATGTGTTCTTCTAGGGATGACGAAAATACTATGATATCGTCCATGTATACTAGACAAACCTTTCCCTGTACGTCACGCAAAACATTATCCATGACGCGCTGAAATGTCGCGGGGGCATTTTTCAATCCGAAAGGCATTCTAACAAACTCAAAATGACCATTCTCGACACTAAAAGCTGTTTTTTCAATTGATTCCGGATCCATTTCGATCTGATGAAAACCAGATGAAAGATCGATAGTTGAAAAATAATTACACCGTCCCAATTTATCGAGTATATCATTTATATTAGGCAATGGATAGCGGTCGTCTATCGTTTTCTCATTTACCTTACGAAAGTCACAGACAATCCTCCATTTCTGCTTGCCGCTGGCGTCAGGTTTCTTCGAGACTACCCAAATGGGGCTGCTCCAAGGGCTTTGGCTGTGTCTAATGATTCCGTCGTCTAACATTTTGTTAATTTGCCGTTGAACTTCCTCTTTATGGATAAAGGGGTATCTATATGATTTAGTGTATACAGGCAATTCATCCGTTGTTCTTATACAATGTTTGATTTTATTGGTGAACGTTAACTTTTTGTTTTCATGATGGAAAATATCGTTATATTCTTTACAAAGCCTTATTATAGCAGATTTTTCTTCTAAATTTAAATGTTCGCAACGAATTATTTTGGAAATGTCGCATTTACTAAATTGTTCTTTATGTTTTGGTAAGATGTGTTCTAAATTAAAAAGTTCAAAATTTTCTTTATGAAAGTCCGGAAAAGATAAAACTTTTAGAGGTTGTGGGAAATTTAACGTTATATTTTTCTCAGTGTAATTAAAAACTTCTGTTTGCGCAAAACCGTTTTTTGCAGTAGTAAGTGTTTCTGGAAAATAGAGACCTTCAATGACTTGCTCGGGAATAATAACATCATTGTTTTGTGTTACTGGAATTCTTACGTTAACAATTTCGTGTGCATTCACAGTAATACAATATACTTCGTTTTGTGGTTGTCTAAATAAAATTGGAATATTAGTTGTATTATTCCTTAATTGTTTATTGACAAGATCGATAGAAAAATTAAAACGTTTTAGGTCGTTTAATCCTATTATACCGTCAAAGATTTTATGAAAGTCAAAAAGAATAAAAGATAGGTTGGTATTAGCCTTTAATTCTGGGAAAGCCGGAATATCTGCTTTAAATAGAGTTTCCTTTTCACCAGTTCCTGTTTTAATAATAGTTGGGGAATGATATATTTTTTCATAATAAAATTTTTCTGCAATGGAAGGTCGAAGAATCGAGTGAAAACAACCAGTATCAATTAAAAGTTTAATTGCGGGTTCTTTAATCTGGATGTACGGTAAACTATTATTAATTTCGGTATACATTTCTAATGTCATTTCGTTGAGTCGCATTGGCTCGTTATTGTAAAATTTTGAGAGATTTGATTTTCAATTTCAGGGTGTTCGTCAAAATTTTGAGTGTCATTAAAGTATTCAATTTGATTTGAAAATTCAATTTCAGAGTATTCGTCTTGGTGAATATTTTCATTTTGAAATACCGCAGATGTTTCATCTGTTTGTACCGCGTTACTTTCGTCGATTTGGTATAATTCTTGCGAAATAAAATTTCTAGGGCCAGTAGGTTTGAAATGGTTAATTTGATTATTTTGACGTGGTATAGTATAGTTTGTTCTTGTTGACATAGGTTCGGGTTTATTGTTAGGTATCTGACCTGTCGGTTTAAATACGTTTTTAGGTGGGCCAAAAACTTGCCTATTTGTAGGAAAATTTCTTGGAACTTCGCGTGGTTGAGGCATATTAATTGGACCTCTGGGAAAACTATTAGTCTGGGGAGTAAACTGATTTTGATCATGCCTAATTCTAAAATTTTGATTATGGTGATTGTTGTTTTGAAAATAATTTGTAGGGCGAATCGGTTGTACATAATTAAAATTTTGGTTACTAAAATAATTTGGATTTTGTGAAAATTGTTTAACGGGTTCGATAGAAGTATTAGGCAAAACTTTCGATTGAATTGGAGTTCTGAAGATATTTTGTGTATATTGAAAATTTTCCTCTTCAATAATTTGGGTCATAGCTAATTCTATACAGCTCGGATTTTTAAGTCTTATAATACTTTGTAATTGTCCTGGTAATCCTCTAATAAACGTCCTTAAACAAATTTGATCGTATTGACGTAAATGAATTACTTTGCTTGCATTATCCATAGTATCGGCAGGAAATGCATTAATTTTTTGAGCAAGGATACTTCTTAAAACTTGTAATCTTTTCCCAAAATCTAAAGGATGTTCATTTTTAAAGGGGGTGGCCATAAACAAATCCTGTTCTAAACATTCTAAATTTCGTCTATCGCCAAAACAATTTAACAAAGCTACTTTAATATTGTCCCACGTTACTAACTCCATTCTACAGCCTACTAGAATTTGTGCGCGATCAACAAGTTTCATTCTTATAGTTCTTAACAAATATTGTTTTAAAATTTCGTCGTTTCCTTGACCATATGTATCAAAAAGGAAATCTCCAGCTGATAGAAAACTATTTAAAGTGTTGGAATCACCATTATATGGCAGAATACTATCTATAAACATTTTTAACAAAGTGTAATTTACACCTGAATTCGACGATTGATTAGAATTCATTTTCAAATTGATTTGACTGTTCTCTACTTTCTGTTCCACTAAATTTAACGAAGTAAAAAACGCACTTAAATTGTCGACGTCTTTATCTTCGTTCATAAATTTAATTGATTTTGAAATTTCTTAAAATTGAACTTAAAACTAAGAATCCTTAAAATTATTTCCACCGTCCTAACCAGGGAAGATGAAAGGAGAACAATAGGAATTTTGGGCACTAACCTTGATTTCTCTTAGTCGTCAGCCTATTCTTCCTATTGGAATTTTCCTTGCGTAGCACTGCTTGCGGGGGTGATTTCTTGCCTTCCTTGCCCTCAGTCGAACTCAATCACGTTGGGTTTGTCAGACAGTCTATCACTGGTTCGTTTTGGAGTCTAAGGGTTGAAACCCACGTTTCGCGATCAAATCGTCCCGATGACGTGGCTTTGACCGAAAACTACCCCAAATCCGTCACGACTGCGCCAGTTAAGGTTTTCTAACGAAGGATCTCGTTTTTAAAAAACACTTTTTTATTTTGCAAACAGAACTACGAGGTTTTCTTTAACCCGCTACAAGGAGAACTGGACGCAAAGCACAGAGTTGTTATATATATAAAGTTTTTATGCAAGCGTCGCGTCGCAGATACTGGGAATACTGAAGCTAGCATTTCATCAGCATATTCTATCACATAATTTACACAGAATAAAAGTGCTGAAACGAAAAAGTTAATTTAGGTCCTTTGATTTGGTTAAATAATTTGTTAGTAATATATTCTAGCAAAAGATTCTAGAGAAAATTGAAAACGGAATAAGAACATAAAGGCAGGCAAAAAAATAAACATAAAATGAGGATGGAACTGGACCTTGTTTTTGATTTTATCTCGTTATTTTGATAATAAAATCGAACTCGACTTCAAATTTGTAGAAGGAACCTTTGAATAAAAAAAAGATTTACAGGATTGACTAACTGAGTTATAATTGGAATGTTTATTTGATTATATTAACAAATCTAAAAATTGCACATTTTTCTAAATTCGATTCAAAAACATGAAGTAAACATATTGTTTTTGATTAAATATTTTTATTAGATATTTTCGATTGAATATTTTGTATTTTCTGTCAAAAGTACTTCCCGTTAAAAAGTTTACATTTTGAATTTTGACCAAACCCCAATCAATTTTTGATGCGCAAAGTGTATTTACCTTCGATCTGTGCATGATACGCCAAATAAAATGCAGGCGTATTTATTCCGAACGCACTAATTCCGGTAGAAATCAATAAAATGCGGACAGTTTTGCTCCTCAACGTGCTGAAGTCGAAGAACGGTCCCTTGTCTTCAAGTTTGTTTTTGTCCTTAATTTTCCGCTTTTGGTTTTTGATATGGAGGATAGCTCGCCTTTGCGGGTGATACAACGAAGCCGAGCGATAGAAAGTGCCGAGAATGGAGGTGATTGAAATGGTACCGGTTACAACTTGCAGCCCAAGACGCCAGCCTAGTGCACTGAAAGAAACGTTCCTTAATATTATCCCAGAATAAAATCAAGTATAGTCTGTTCATAGATATAAGAAAGTGACTAACTGATACGAATTAAGGAAAGACCCGGGCAAGTTGTAAGAGTGAAATATGGCCGAACAGGTCCGTACTTTGCTTAGAATTTAATTATTTGGGGATTTGTTAGGAAAGATACTAAACAACATTTATTTATTTATGTATGTATTTGTGTTTAAATCTAAATTAAAATTACAAATTATTTTTATTACCTACTTAAATAACTTAAAATTATTCACATAATATATCAGTATCACTATCGCTATCATCGCCTGTTCTAATTATTATTTGTTCTGTATTATTTGCAGTATGGATATACGATTGTTTTGCTTTTTCTCTATGTTTAACAGAATTTGCCCAACTTTGTGGAGGGATGTTAAAAACTTTGGCTTCTATAAGTTTCAGGACATTGGAGTTAACACGGGGAAAAACATTGTTACTACGAATGGTACATTTCAGTTGGTTCAATGTTCAATGGGATTAAATATACAGTGGTAAGGTGGAAGCCTTAAAACTGTATGCCCTAGATTTTTTGCATAATTATCAGAGACGTATTCCTTTTGTAGGTTCAAGCTTTGTAGAACCTCAATTAATTGCTTTTTGGTATAATCTTCGTGAGAATAAATGTCGTTAATATACATGTAGTTTTGGATTGTTGTTTTGTATCACATGAGAAAGGGGCTTTAGTCAACTGTCTATTGTGATAACTTGCATTGTCCATTACAATGACGCTATTAGGAGGAATGTTTGGAACTAGTTTATTTTTAAACCAACTTTCAAATAAATCAGCGGTGGTATCTTCATGGTAATTCAGAGAAGAATCTTTAATATTTCGCAGACAGAGAAAGTCCATTTGGAATCCAACCATCTCTAGAGCAAGCATGCAAAATAGTTATTCTTTTACCTCTTTTTGATGGCGCGTATGTTTTACACTTATCAGTTGAGTCAACCCAACCCTTTTCCGGGGTATCATAAGTGTCGAATCAGGTTTCATCCAAGTAAATAATTGGCCTTTATTGTTCTCTGTAAATCCTAATTTTTTCTAGATATTCCAGTCGCCATTTCCGAATTCTAAAAGATTCCATTAAAACTTGCTTTTGTCAATTTTTTTAAATCTGAAACCCATGTGTTGAATACACTTCCATAAGGTAGTTCTGCCACATTTAACACCGGTTTCAAGCCTCCTAATTAAGATATCTAATGTAGGCACGCTTTGTTCCTCGTATAACTGGTAAATTTTACGCCGTATTATATCTTGATCACTTTCATCTACACTCGAGAAAATGTCAGCATCGCTTCTTTTTTTCCTCGCTGAAATGGGATTGTTCAAAATTTTCCATACAGTCGATGTTTGAATTTTCGTCAATGTGGCCGTTTCTTCTACAGATGCTTGCTTGCTGGTACCACGCTCAATGAGAGTCAAATAAAAATTGTTTATAACTTCCTTAGTCTCAATAGAATAGTGTTTTCTACATTTGGGCGGGAGCATCTCCTGAGATACCTTAGACACTAGGTATAAAATTATTTTCTGTTACGGACCACAATTTTATCTGAATTTAAATTCCGAAACTTTATGTAATAATCTTGTTGCATTGTATGTTAATTGGATAATCCCATTCAAAAGCAATTGGTCACTTTCTTATATCTATGAACAGACTTTACCTAAATCATCTCATTTGGTCTATTACATCGTCTATTATACGAGGTGAAATCATCATTGTAATCATATTACCTTAATGCGAAAATATATTTATGCAGATGTAGAGCTTTTATAATTTTTTTGTCTCTATGCAGTACCAAAGCGTACAGCAAACCGTCCTAACTATTTTTCAAAACGATAATAATAATAATGAATTTGCTTAGAACAATATGTCTGATATAAAATCATAAAAAGCATATTGTATAAGAACCTAGAGAATTTATATTTAGCAAAAAACAAAAAGGATTCTAAACAATCTAAAAAAATATGTTTACGTTCCAGCCATCACGCAAATTCTTTCTTAAACTCTAACCACAGAAAAATAAAAAGATTATAGAAAGAGTGGGCAGCAGTTATGAAGATCACACAACCGCAAATTCTGTCTGATATCGAATTGTATTTATTAAATGCGAGGAGCAATCGGTGACAATAGTACTATAAAAAACACAGAATACGCACCCTGACATTACCACTCGGTCATTGTCTTCTTGGTTCTGTCCTCTGTAGACAGAAGATGCCGGTATGGAAATAGGTTTTTCATATTTTCAACAAGAAAACTTAGATACCCAGTTTGCTTGTGTTAATAATTGGATTAAATACGTACAACCGCCACTGAGGAGCGTTCATAAAAATCCAGACACAAAAAACTTTCCTTAGGGCCTTAAAAGTGAAACTTTCCAAAAATCTTTAAGAAATATATCTAAATGGCGAAACTAAAAAAAAATGAATGTGTGGTTATGAGCGATCACGGTATGATTTTATTATTATTATTATTATTATTATTATTATTATTATTATTATTATTATTATTATTATTCAGCGTATCATTAAAACATACTTTTATTGCAAACAAGCAATATTTATTTATCAATAAATACAATGGATAGCATATTGCAGCCTTTAACTCTACAAACTTTAAAAAAAGGATAAAAGTAACCGAATTACTTCGTATACGCTGTAGTTTTTCCCTTTTAAATGGTTATTAAACGAAAATGGAAGTGATTTCATCTCTTTTAGGGGTGATTTTCTGAACACTTTTTTTCTGCGCTTTCGAAGCTAGCGAACCTTAAGCTTCTCTGTATGTCACAACAGCTGACATCAAGCGAAATTGGAAAGTTTCAAGCTTTGAAACTTTCATTTATTTTAAAGTCTAGTTTGTGGCTAGATTTCTACGCTGAAGTTATAACCGTGAGATTCGCGAACGTACAAAAGAAATTTATAAAATTCATCCAGATTACTCCAAATAGCCTTCTAAAGAACGACATAAAATATGTTGAAGTCTAAAACGGCGCCACGTAATAAATTGATTTCACTTAATCGCGTTTCTCCATAAAAATAGATTAATTCACTTGGCGGCGGAGTAAATCATTCAAGCGTTTCTTTTTGTTATAAGCATTCAGTATTTGCTGCCTCTAAAAGGTACGCAATTTGTTACACCCGTCATTCAGAAATGTATGACCTCCTTCAATTAACAACACGGGAGAGTTGCCAAGCGGCTGTGTAAGCTTTTCGCGGTTCTTTCGTGCCATAGCAAATCGCAAAAAATTTAATGGTTATTTATTTTCCGATCGATCAATTTGCGATTCGGTTCACTCAGCGAGCTTATTCGGCCAGAAGCAAAGAAATCAGTGCATTTCGTACTCGAGGCAGTTTTACGGAAGACTTCAAAGCCGATGTTTGGGAACGCCGCGACTTCAAGTAGGTAGAAAGTTTGAGAACTGTGTAGTTGTTTATACGGTTTTCGCAATTAAAATGTTCATACCAATAAAATTAAGATGACACACAAATTCTATATTACCTCATAAACTCGCTACCTCATAACATATCTAATGTATATGACATTATTTCATATTCCCGTTTTTGGTTTTTGAGTTTGCCACTATTAAATATACAAATCTAGATAACTACATTTATATTTAATTCGTATGTTAAAATGCAGCATAACCTTTACTCATATCCAGTTTAGTATCACATAATTTTTTTAGTGTCACTTGTAATAGAATTTTTCGCACGATAGAACGATGTTACTTACTTACTGCATCTCTTCCGTATTCAGGAAGTCGTTTTTAGTGGTTATCAAAATAAATATAGGTGATTAATTTAATTGTTGTCCTAGGATCGTCAGAAGACCATACCATACGCTAAAAATAACGGAAATAATTGCAGTAGTCGCCTACTTTCAATAGATGTCATTTTTGATATTTTTAAGATATTTTTAAGGTAATATTTAATCACAATAAGGAAGAATATACTAAATTTTATAGTGCAAAAAACATTGTCAGCATTATGAACGCAACGGACAGCCCAAAATATTAAATAAATACAATAAAGAAAGTGTGATTCCATTTGATAACACTACCACCAAATAACACCAAGCAAAACTGTGTGTCTAATCAGAAAGATGAATCTAGATAATGCTATGGGTGGCAATGACGGACAAGCAAAAAGCTAACTCTCCCGACTGTATGTTGTTCTTTGTAAATTAGTGCGAAAGACGTGTGTTCTCTCCTAATCATTCCATTTAATCAGATCACTAATAAAAAAAATCGCACTTGATAATAAAAATAGAAACCATTTTTGTATTGGTTTCAACGAAATAAAGTTTTTTCTTTTGAATTGTGCAGTATTAAAACTTATAATTGTACGAAAAAGAACATTTCCGGTCAAACAAACACGAGCATAGGGGCATCTATTAGATCGGAATGCGTTTATTTTAGCGCCGATCCAGTGCTGTTTTATGCATTAATTCAATGTCAAATTTTGGTAGCGATATATCAAGAGCAACAATGAGGGCACCAGCCCCTTCATTAGAATTCAGACAGTGATTTTAGTTCGACATTTAGAACCCATTTCTTTAATAAGACTGCAGAGGCGTGTTCTGTTAGACAACATAATAGTTTAATCAACAGTAAGTGTGTCTCCTTCACACTAATCAATTTTAAATTTACCACCTTCTATTTAATTGCCAGATGTATAGTGCTCTCCGTACCGTAGAGTTTTCTGCATTAAAAAATTTGGTTTCACATAGTTCAAAACGTTTTGCTTTTCTCGTAATATTTTTTGTATGAAACGAGTAAAAATAAAATTGTATTTTAGGTTTATATTAATTTCTGATGCGGATTTCTTGTGTAGAATTGTAAATTCTCATATACGAGTAATTAAGGAACTTTTGTTAAAGCACTCGCCCTAACGTTTTTTATATCTTCGCATCGAGAGAGCATCCTTTCTTAAATAGCTGTATATAATAATCTGC